GGAAGAAGGCAAAAAGTCTTGACCTTCTCCTTAATATTTTTTGCATTTGTGCTTTCATTTACACGTTACAGGGTCCCTTCCCGCGTGAAGTTGACTTCGTATTTCTGACCTTAAAACGACTGAAGATGGTCCAAATCTGGCAATCGTGGTAGCATCTTAAAGGGGACATGTTCCTCTATCTACTGATGTATTTTTCATTTCTATATTCTCTGTAGTTATTGAAATATCTGCGGAAGAAGGCAAGAAGTCTTCACCTATTCCTTAATATTTTTTGCATTTGTGCTTTCATTTACACGTTACACGTTCCCTTCCAGTGTAAAGTTGACTTCGTACTTTCAACCCTAAAACGACTGAAGATGGTCCAATTCTGGCAATCCCTTTGGCATCTGAATGGGGACATGTTTTTCTATCTGCTGATGTAAGTTTCATTTCTATATCTGCTGTAGTTATTGAAATATCTGCGGAAGAAAGCAAGAAGTCTTGACCTATTCTTCAATATTTTTTGCATTTGTGCTTTCATTTACACGTTACAGGTTCCCTTCCAGTGTAAAGTTGACTTCGTATTTTCAACCCTAAAACGACGTACAATGGACCAAATTTAGCAATCCTGGTGGCATCTGAAAGGGGACATGTTTCTCTATCTACTGATGTAAGTTTCATTTCTATATTTGCTGTAGTTATTGATTTATCCTCGGAAGAAGGCAAGAAGTCTTGACCTATTCCTTAATATTTTTTGCATTTGTGCTTTCATTTACACGTTACAGGTTCCCTTCCCGCGTATAGTTGACTTCGTATTTCTGACCCTAACACGACTTACAATGGACCAAATCTGGCAATCGTGGTCGCATCTGAAAGGGGACATGTTCTTCTATCTACAGATGTAAGTTTCATTTCTATGTTTGCTGTAGTTATTGAATTATCCGCAAAACAAGGCAGGAAGTCTTTACCTACTCCTTACATTTTTGTATATGTGCCTTCATTTACACGTTACAGGGTCCCTTCCTGCGAAACGTTGGCTTCGTACTTTCGACCCTAAAACGACTGAAGATGGGCCAATTCTGGCACTCCTGGTGGCATCTTAAAGGGGACATGTTTCTCTATCTACTGATGTAGGTTTCATTTCTATATTTGCTGTAGTTATTGAATTATCAACGGAAGAAGGCAGGAGGTCTTGACCTACTCCTTAATATTTTTTGCATTTGTGCTTTCATTTACACGTTACATGGTCCCTTTCCGCGTAAAGTTGACTTCGTATTTCTGACCCTAAAACGACTTACAATGGACCAATTCTAGCAATCCTGGTGGCATCTGTAAGGCAGCATGTTCTTCTATTTACTGATGTAAGTTTCATTTCTATATTTTCTGTAGTTATTGAATTATCCACGGAAGAAGGCAAGAAGTCTTGACCTACTCCTTAATAATTTTTGCATTTGTGCTTTCATTTACACGTTACAGGGTCCCTTCCCGCGAAAATTTGACTTCGTATTTTCGACCCTAAAACGACGTTCAATGGACCAAATCTGCCAATCCTGGTGGCATTTTAAGTGTACATGTTTGCCTATCTACTGATGTAAGTTTCATTTCTATATTTGCTGTAGTTATTGAATTATCCTTGGAAGACGGCAAGAAGTCTTGACCTACTCCTTAATAATTTTTGCATTTGTGCTTTCATTTACACGTTTCAGGGTCCCTTCCCGCGAAAAGTTGGCTTCGTAGTTTCGACTCTAAAACGACTGAAGATGGGCCAATTCTGGCACTCCTGGTGACATCTGAAAGTGGACATGTTTTTCTATCTACTGATGTAAGTTTCATTTCTATATTTGCTGTAGTTATTGAATTATCTACGGAAGAAGGCAGGACGTCTTGACCTACTCCTTATATTTTTTGCATTTGTGCTTTCATTTACACGTTACAGGGTCCCTTTCCGCGTAAAGTTGACTTCGTATTTCTGACCCTAAAACGACCAACAATGGACCAAATCTAGCAATCCTGGTGGCATCTGAAAGGCAACATGTTCCTCTATGTACTGATGTAAGTTTCATTTCTGTATTTGCTGTAGTATTGAATTATCCTCGGAAGAAGGGAAGAAGTCCTGACCTACTCCTTAATATTTTTTTGCATTTTTGCTTTCATTTCCACGTTACAGGGTCCCTTCCTGCGTAAAGTTGACTTCGTATTTTTGATCCTGAAGCGACTTACAATGGACCAAACCTTGAAATCTTGGTCGCATCTGAAAGGGGAAATGTTTCTCTATCTACTGATGTACGTTTTATTTATATATTTGCTGNGGGAGAACGCAAGAAGTCCTGACCTACTCCTTAGTATTTTTTGCATTTGTGCTTTCATTTACACGTTTGAGGGTCCCTTCCTGCGAAAAGTTGGTTTCGTACTTTCGACCCTAAAACGACTGAAGATGGTCCAATTCTGGCAATCTTGGTGGCATCTGAATGGGGACATGTTTCTCTATCTACAGATGTAAGTTTTATTTCTGTATTTGCTGTAGTTATTGAATTATCCGCGGAAGAAGGCAAGAAGTCCTGACCCACTCCTTAGTATTTTTTGCATTTGTGCTTTCATTTACACGTTTGAGGGTCCCTTCCCGCGAAAAGTTGGCTTCGTACTTTCGGCCCTAAAACGACTGAAGATGGTCCAATTCTGGCAATCGTGGTGGCATCTGAATGGGGACATGTTTTTCTATCTGCAGATGTAAATTTCATTTCTATATTTGCTGTAGTTATTGAATTATCCTCGGAAGAATGCAAGAAGTCTTGACCTACTCCTTAATATTTTTTGCATTTGTGCTTTCATTTACACGTTTGAGGGTCCCTTCCCGCGTAAAGTTGACTTCGTATTTCTCACCCTAAAACGACTTCCAATGGACCAAATCTGGCAATCCTGGTTGCATCTGAATGGGGACATGTTTCTCTATCTACTGATGTAAGTTTCATTTCTGTATTTGCTGTAGTTATTGAATTATCCCCGGAGGAAGGCAAGAAGTCTTGACCTACTCCTTAATATTTTTTGCATTTGTGGTTTCATTTACACGTTACAGCGTCCCTTCCCGCGTAAAGTTGGCTTCGTATTTTTAACCCTAAAACGACTCAAAATGGTCCAAATCTGGTAATTGCTGTGGCATCTGAAAGGGGACATGTACTCTATATATATCTACTGATGTAATTTTCATTTCTGTATTTGCTGTAGTTATTGAATTTTTCGTCAAAGAAGGCAACGCTATCCTTCCTGCTGCTTCCTATTTTGTATGACTCTCATTTTGTGCACATGATGTTTCCCGGGTAAAGTTGCCCCTAAATATGCTGAAAATCGTCCAAATCTGGCAATAGCGGTGTCATCTGAAATGACCCATGTTCCTCTATATCCTGATTTAAGTTTCATTTCTCTATTTCTTGTAGTTATTGAAATATCTGAAAAAGAGGGTAATGGTTCTTGTGCTACTTTTTCCTGTTTAGTGCGANAAGAAGTCTTGACCTACTCCTTAATATTTTTTGCATTTGTGCTTTCATTTACACATTTCAGGGTCCCTTCCCGCGAAAAGTTGGCTTCGTAGTTTTGACCCTAAAACGACTGAAGATGGTCCACGTCTGGCACTCCTGGTGACATCTGAAAGGGGTAATGTTGCTCTATCTACTGATGTAAGTTTCATTTCTATATTTGCTGAAGTTATTGAATTATCCACGGAAGAAGGCAGGAAGTCTTGACCTACTCTTTATATTTTTTCCATTTGTGCTTTCATTTACACGTTACATGGTCTCTTCCCGCGTAACATTGGCTTCGTACTTTCAACCATAAAGCGACTGAAGATGGTCCAATTCTGGCAATCCTGTAGCATCTGAATGGGGACATGTTGTTCTATCTGTTGATGTAAGTTTCATTTCTACAATTGCTGTAGTTATTGAATTATCCTCGGAAGAAGGCAGGAAGTCTTGACCTACTCCTTAATATTTTTTGCAATTGTGTTTTCATTTACACGTTACAGGGTCCCTTTCCGCGTAAAGTTGACTTCGTATTTTTGACCCTAAAACGACTTACAATGGACCAAATCTAGCAATCCTGGTGGCATATGAAAGGCAGCATGTTATTCTATCTACTGATGTAAGTTTCATTTCTATATTTGCTGTAGTTATTGAATTATCTAAGGAAGAAGGCAAGAAGTCTTGACCTACTCCTTAATATTTTTTGCATTTGTGCTTTCATTTACACGTTACAGAGTCCCCTCCAGCGTAAAGTTGACTTCGTATTTTCGACCCTAAAACGACTTACAATGGACCAAATCTAGCAATCCTGGTGGCATCTCAAAGGGGACGTGTTCCTATATCTACTGATGTAAGTTTCATTTCTATATTCGCTGTAGTTATTGAATTATCATCGGAAGAAGGCAAGAAGTCTTGACCTACTCCTTAATATTTTTTGCATTTGTGCTTTCATTTCCACGTTTGAGGGTCCCTTCCCGCGAAACGATGGCTTCGTACTTTCGACCCTAAAACGACTGAAGATGGTCTAATTCTGGCAATCCTGGTGGCATCTTAAAGGGGCTATGTTTCTTTATCTACTGATGTAAGTTTCATTTCTATATTTGCTGTAGTTATTGATTTATCTGCGGAAGAAGGCAAGAAGTCTTGACCTACTCCTTAATATTTTTTGCATTTGTGCTTTCATTTCCACGTTTGAGGGTCCCTTCCCGCCAAAAGTTCGCTTCGTACTTTCGACCCTAAAACGACTTACAATGGACCAAATCTGGCAATCCTGGTGGCATCTGAAAGGGGATATGTGTCTCTATCTGCTGATGTAAGTTTCATTTCTATATTTCCTGTAGTTATTCAATTATCTGCGGAAGAAGGCAAGAAGTCTTGACCTACTCCTTAATATTTTTTGCATTTTTGCTTTCATTTACACGTTACAGGGTCCCTTCCCGCGTAAAGTTGACTTCGTATTTTCGACCCTAAAACGACGTACAATGGACCAAATCTGGCAATCTTGGTGGCATCTTAAAAGGTGCCATGTTCGCCTATCTACTGATGTAAGTTTCATTTCTATATTTGCTGTAGTTATTGAATTATACTCGGAAGAAGGAAAGAAGTATTGACCTACTCCTTAATATTTTTTGCATTTGTGCTTTCATTTCCACGTTTGAGGGTCCCTTCTCGCGAAACGATGGCTTCGTACTTTCGACCCTAAAACGACCGAAGATGGTCCACTTCTGGCAATCCTGGTGACATCTGAAAGGGGACAAGTTCCTCTATCTACTGATGTAAGTTTCATTTCTATATTTGATGTAGTTATTAAATTAACCGCGGAAGAAGGCAAGAAGTCTTGACCTACTCCTTAATATTTTTTGCATTTGTGCTTTCATTTACACGTTACAGGGTCCCTTCCCGCGTAAAGTTGACTTCGTATTTTCGACCCTAAAACGACATACAATGGACCAAATCTGGCAATCCTGGTGGCATCTTAAAAGGGGACATGTTCGCCTAACTACTGATGTAAGTTTCATTTCTATATTTGCTGTAGTTATTGAATTATCCTCGAAAGAAGGCAAGAAGTCTTGACCTACTCCTTAGTATTTTTTGCATTTGTGCTTTCATTTACACGTTACAGGGTCCCCTCCAGCGTAAAGTTGACTTCGTATTTTCGACCCTAAAACGACTTACAATGGACCAAATCTAGCAATCCTGGTGGCATCTCAAAGGGGACGTGTTCCTATATCTACAGATGTAAGTTTCATTTCTATATTTGCTGTAGTTATTGAATTATCATCGGAAGAAGGCAAGAAGTCCTGACCTACTCCTTAATATTTTTTGCATTTGTGCTTTCATTTACACGTTTGAGGGTCCCTTCCCGCGTAAAGTTGGCTTCGTATTTTTGACCCTAAAACGACTGAAGATGGTCCAATTCTGGCAATCCTTGTGGCATCTGAAAGGGGACATGTTTCTCTATCTACTGATGTAAGTTTTATTCCTATATTTGCAGTAGTTATTGAATTATCCGCGGAAGAAGGCAAGAAGTCTTGACCTACTCCTTAACATTTTTTGCGTTTGTGCTTTCATTTACACGTTACAGGGTCCCTTCCCTTGTAAAGTTGACTTCGTATTTTTGATCCTAAAACGACTTATAAAGCACCAATTCTGGCAATTTCTATTGCATCTTAAAGGAGACATGTTCCTCTATTTACAGATGTAAGTTTCATTTCTATATTTGCTGTAGTTATTGAATTATCCGCGGAAGAAGGCAAGAAGTCTTGACCTACTCCTTAATATTTTTTGCACTTGTGCTTTCATTTCCACGTTTGAGGGTCCCTTCCCGTGAAAAATTGGCTTCGTACTTTCGACCCTAAAACGACTTACAATGGACCAAATCTGGCAATCCTGGTGGCATCTAAAAGGGGATATGTTTCTCTATCTGCTGATGTAAGTTTCATTTCTTTATTTGCTGTAGTTATTGAATTATCCTCGGAAGAAGGCAAGAAGTCTTGACCTACTCCTTAATATATTTTGCATTTGTGCTTTCCTTTACATGTTACAGGGTCCCTTTCTGCGAAAAGTTGGCTTCGTATTTCCGACCTTAAAACGACTTACAATGGACCAAATCTAGCAATCCTGGTGGCATCTGAAAGGAGACATGTTCCTCTATCTACTGAAGTCAACTTCATTTCTGTATTTGCTTTAATTATTGACTCATTCGAGAAAGAAGGCAACGGGATCCTTCCTGGTGCTTCCTATTTTGTGCGATTCTCCTTTTGTGCATACGATGTTTTCCGCCTAAAGTTGGCTTCGTATTTTCAACCCTAAAACGACTCAAAATGGTCCAAATCTGGTAATTGCCGTGGCATCTGAAAGGGGACATGTACTCTATATATATCTACTGATGTAATTTTCATTTCTGTATTTGCTGTAGTTATTGAATTTTTCGTCAAAGAAGGCAACGCTATCCTTCCTGCTGCTTCCTATTTTGTATGACTCTCATTTTGTGCACATGATGTTTCCCGCGTAAAGTTGACCCTAAATATGCTGAAAATGGTCCAAATCTGGCAATAGCGGTGTCATCTGAAATGACCCATGTTCCTCTATATCCTGATTTAAGTTTCATTTCTCTATTTCTTGTAGTTATTGAAATATCTGAAAAAGAGGGTAATGGTTCTTGTGCCACTTTTTCCTGTTTTGTGCAANTTTTCCTTTGTAGCTGGGCCTCTTCCCACGTAAAGGTGGCTTCGTATTTTCGACCCTAAAAACACTGCAAATGGTCCAAATCTGGCGATCACGGTGGCATCTGAAAGGGCACATGTTACTTTACTTATTGATGGAAGTTCCATTTCTATATTTGTATTATTTCTTGAAATATCCGCTCAAGAACGCAAGCGTTTTGTACTACTTTATATATGTTTTTGGTTTTTTTGCTATTCCACACGTAACAGGCCCTCTTCCCTCGCAAAGTTAGATTCGTATTTTCGACCCTAAAAAGACTGAAATGTGTTCAAATCTCGTAACCGTGGTGGCATCTGAAAGGACACATATTCCTCTGACTTATTGATGTAAGTTTTGTTTCTATATGTGCTGTAGTTATTGAAATATCTGCGAAAGATGGTAATTGTTTTTTCCCTGCTACTTGATATTTTGCAATTCTGCCTTTGTCCACATGTTACTGACATGGCCTCTTCCCAAGCAAAATTGGCTTGACATGGTCAGGAGAATTTCCGAATTTCGGAAAAATTACACCTTTTATTAAAAGTTATTAACACTTAGGGAAACATGCAGAATTTTTCTCTCTGTTTTTGAAAGCCTATCATCAGGCAATAATTTATTGATTACCTGAGCAACGCAAAATTCAAAATTTCAGAAGCCACGATAATTAGAGTTACCGCGATAATATAGGAACCGAATATGTCTTCGGGGAAAGTTATTGTCACATCTCAGCCCATTTTATTTTTTTAAAAATGACAACTATTAGTTTTCTTTCATGTAGAGTTTTATTGAGTTTCCCAATTTGGGAACAAAATTTGGCTGCAACAAGAGAAGTTGCTTGATTTAAATATTCATTTCAGTGTGTGCTGTCATTGATTTGCATTTAACACAAGGTGCTTGGGGCTCTTTGAATGGTAAGTACAAGCAGTTGGGATGTTTCAGTTTCATAGGCCTTTTTTATGGCTAACCCCAGTGAACTTAATTGAAACGAAAAGTCATCTTCAAGTTCTGGCCATAATCTTGAATTTCCAGCGGAAAAAACGGAGGCCAACCTCTTCCTTGGCCCGAGAGTCACCAGGCGGCGCTATTTCGGCCCGATTTTGCACTGTTTTCTATGGGCGCGTATTTGGTGTTGTGCAACCTCAGTGCAGGTGACAAACTTGTTTTAAACCGTGACAAACTCAGCAGATATCATACGTAATAAATAATATGCCCGTGGTCGAACATCTACGGAGCCCCTAAAGGGACTTCCAACGAAAACAAACTCTATAACAGAATAAAATTTCACAAATTTTTTCGTGTGCACGAAATCATTTCGTTCGCACGAATTCATTTCGTACGCA